GGGTGGATCACGACATCAAGAGTTTGAGAGTGAAACCTCGTCTGTACTAAGAATATAAAAATTAGTTGGGCGTGGTGGCATGTGCCTATAATCCCAGCTACTCAGGAGGTTGAGGCAGGAGAATATCTTGAACCTAGGAGGCGGAGGTTGCAGTGAGCTGAGATTGTGCCACTGCACTCCAGTCTGGGCGACACAGCAAGACTCCGTCTTGGAGAAAAAAAGTTTTCATTTATGGGCTCAAAAGAAATCTATACAGATATATTACAGATTGCTGTTTTAAGTGAATTTTTTACTTAACTTTTACAACATCAAGAATACAGCAGATGAAGTCTGACACCTCTACAAGTGGCAGAACTCAAAACAAAGTTTATTTCTCATGCATATAGCCATCTTTATACTAGACTCTTTGCATCAAGAATAAATGGTGGAAATATCAGACACTAACAAAGCACAATCACCTAATTTATCATTAAAAAGTTGCCTTTGGAAATCCTATACATGTCGGTTGGTATCTGCTGCCCTTGAGGTCCAACGGCTATTAAAGTCACTTACTCTAATCGACTCATTTTCCTTATTTATAAAATAGGGATATGACCTACTTTACAGGAATACAGTAAGAATATCTAAGATTAGGGATGTGAGAGTACCTAGCACATGCCAGATGTAGTAAGCACTCAAAAGTTACTTCTCATTTTCCCCCACTGGTACTGAACCAAATTAAAAATAAACACACAAAACAACAAAAACCAACTTGAACCTCAGAATTATTTAACATACACAGTACAGGCATACTTCATTTTATTGTGCTTTGCTTTACTGTGCTTGACAGATACTGCATTTTTTAAATAAATTGAAGGTGTGTGGCAACTCTGCATCAAGCAAGTCCATTGGCACCATTTTTCCAACAGCATGTGATGCTCACTTCATGTCTATGTCACATTTTGGCAATTCTCACAGTATTTCAAACTTTTGCATTATTATTATATCTGTTAGGATGATCTGTGATCAATGATCTTTTATGTACTACTGCAATTGTTTTGGGGCACCATAAACTGTGCCTGTATAAGATGGTGAACTTAACTGATAAATGTGTGTGTTCTGACTACTCCGCTGACTAACCACTCCCCCGTCTCTCTCCCTCTCCTTGGGCCTCCTTATTCCCTCCTTAATCCCAACTCTCTGGGAGGCCAAGGCGGGTGGATCATGAGGTCAGGAGATTGAGACCATCCTGGCTAACACAGTGAAACCCCGTCTCTATTAAAATTCAAAAAAATTAGCTGGGCACGGTGGTGGGCGCCTATAGTCCCAGCTACTCGGGAGGCTGAGGCAGGAGAATGGCGTGAACCTGGGAGGTGGAGCTTGCAGTGAGCCGAGATTGCGCCATTGCACTCCAGCCTGGGCGACACAGTGAGACTCCATCTCAAAAAAAAAAAAAAAAGTAAGTAGGCCAATTAGTAACTCTACAATGGACTCTAAGTGTTCAAGTGAAAGGAAGAGTGGCATGTCCCTCACTTTAAATCAAAAGCTAGAAACAATTAAGCTTAGTGAAAAAGGCAAGTCAAAAGCTAATACAGGCCAAAAGCTAGGCCTCTTGTGCCAGTTAGCCACATTGTGAATCCAAAGAGAAAGTTCTTAAAGGAAATCAAAAGTGCTATTTTAATGAAAAATGCGTAACATGAAAGCAAAACAGCCTTATTCCTGATGTGGAGAAAGTTTTAGTGGTCTGGATACATGATCAAAGCAGCCACAACATTCCCTTAGGCCAGAGCCTAACCCAGAAGAGGGTCTTAACTCTCTTAAATTCTATGAAGGCTGAGAGAATTGAGAAATTGCAGAATTTTGAAGCTAATATGAATTTTTAGGAAGGAAGCTGTTCTTCATTACATAAAATTACAAGGTAAGGCTGGGCACAGTGGCTCACACCTGTAATCCCAGCACTTTGGGAGGCCAAGGTGGGCAGATCTCCTGAGGACAGGAGTTAGAGATCAGCCTGGCCAAAATGGCAAAAATACAAAAATTACTAAATTACTACTAAAAATACAAAAATTAGCCAGGTGTGGTGTCATGCACCTGTAATCCCAGCTACTCAGGAGGCTGAGGCAAGAGAATTGCTTGAGCTCAGAAGGCGGAGGCTGTAGTGAGCTGAGACCTTGCCACTGTACCACAGCCTGGGCAACTCTGTCTCCAAAAAAAAAAAAAAAAAAAAAAAGTATAAGGTGAAGCAGCATGTCCTCATGTAGAAGCTGCAGCAAGTTATCCAAAAGATCTGGCTAAACCCTGTCTCTAGTGTAGCTACCTGATGAAGGTGGCTACACTAAACAATAGATTTTTTTTTTTTTTTTTTCTGAGACGGAGTCTTGCTCTGTAGCCCAGACTGGAGGGCAGTAGTGGGATCTCAGCTCAGTGCAAGCTCCGCCTCCTGGGTTCTCACCATTCTCCTGCCTCAGCCTCCAGAGTAGCTGGGACTACAGGCGCCTGCCACCACGCCCAGCTAATTTTTTTTTTGTATTTTTAGTAGAGATGAGGTTTCACCATGTTAGGCAGGATGGTCTCGATCTCCTGACCTCGTGATCCGCCCGCCTCAGCCTCCCAAAGTGCTGGGATTACAGGCGTGAGCCAACACGCCCGGCTGACAATAGATTTTTAATGTGGATGAAACAGCTTTATATTGGAAGAGGATGCCATCTAGGACTTTCATAGCTAGAGAGGAGAAGTCAATGCCCGATTTCAAAGGACTGGCTAATTCTCTTGTTAGTGGCTAATGTAGTAGCTGTCTTTAAGTCGAAGCCAATGTTCATCATTCTGAAAATCCTAGGGCCCTTAAGAATTATGCTAAATCTACATTGCCTATGCTGTAACAATGGAACAAGAAAGCCTGGATAGCCGGGCGCGGTGGCTCACGCCTGTAATCCCAGCACTTTGGGAGGCCGAGGCGGGCGGATCACAAGGTCAGGAGATCGAGACCACGGTGAAACCCCGTCTCCACTAAAAATACAAAAAATTAGCCGGGCGCGGTTGTGGGCGCCTGTAGTCCCAGCTACTCGGGAGGCTGAGGCAGGAGAATGGCGTGAACCCAGGAGGCGGAGCTTGCAGTGAGCTGAGATCGCGCCACTGCACTCCAGCCTGGGCGACAGAGCGAGACTCCGTCTCAAAAAAAAAAAAAAAAAAAAAAAAAAAAGAAAAGAAAAAAGCCTGGATGACAGCATGTCTCTTTAACAGCACGGCTTACTGAGTAGTTTAAGTGTACTGTTGAGAACTACTGCTCAGAAAATATCACTCACTACTCATTGATAACGCACCTAGTTACCCAAGAGCTCTGATGGAGATCTACAAGATTTATCTTTTCCTGCCTGCTACACAATATCCATTCTGTAGCCCATGGATCAAGGAATCATTTTGACTTTCAAGTCTTATTATTTAAGAAAATACATTTCATGGCTGGGCACAGTGGCTCACGCCTGTAAAAAATACAAAAATTAGCCAGGCATGGTGGTGCACACCTGTAATCCCAGCTACTTAGGAGGCTGAGGCAGGAGAATCGCTTGAACCTGGGAGGCGGAGGTTGCAGGAGAGACTCCGTCTCAACACACACACACACACACACACACACACACACACACACACACAATCAAACTGCACTGCATGCTACAGAGAAATATTTTGTGAAAGGAAGGCTCAATGTGGCAAACTTCATTGTCTTATTTTAAGAAATTGCCACAGCCACTACAACCTTCAGCAACAACCACCCTAATCAGTCAGTAGCCATCTACATGGAGGAAGACCCTCCATGAGCAAAAAGAATACAACTCACTGAAGGCTCAGATAATTCTTAGCATTTTTTAGCAATAATTTTGAAATTAGGTATGTACAGTTTTTTCGTTTTTGTTTTTGTTTTTTTTTCTGAGACGGAGTCTCCCTCTGTCGCCCAGGCTGGAGTGCAATGACACGATCTTGGCTCAGCCTCCCGACTAGCCGGGATTACAGGCATCCGCCACCATGTCCGGCTAATTTTTGTATTTTTAGTAGAGACGGGGTTTCACCATGTTGGCCAGGCTGTTCTCGGACTCCTGACTTCAGGTAATCCACCCGTCTCAGCCTCCCGAAGTGCTGGGCTTACGGGTGTGAGCCACCACGCCCGGCCAGGTACATTTTTTTTTTTACACATAATACTATTGCATACTTAACACACTACAGTGTAAACATGACTTTTATATACACTAAGATATAAAAAAATTCGTATGACCGCGCTTTATTGCAGTGGTCTGGAACAGAACCCGCCATACTTTCGACGTATGCCTGTCTGTTGGTCATTTCAATGTGATTCAGTCATGTCACAGGTCTGTCATATAATGGTAGCGAGACAGAAGATGTAGGTTCTACTATCAGTAGAACTTCCAGATGGCTTAAGAAAAAAAATCTGTAAACTAAGAGGGTTGGCATATAGTATTCCTGTTTTCCAGCTTTACCATTCTTGCTTCTATAATTCTGTGATTATGGACACACAACACACACATACGTTCAAACCTCCATTGTAACAAGAATTTTAAAGCATAATATTCCTTAGCATATTATTGCTAACATGGGTCTATTCTGAGACTAGAAAAATATTCGTAGCCATTAGTAAAGAAACACCACTAAAAATAGCTTAGAAATATTTAAATATATAGGCCAGGCACGGTGGCTCAGGCTTGTAATCCCAGTACTCTGGGAAGCCAAGGAGGGCGGATCACCTGAGGTCGCTCGAGACCAGCCTGACCAACATGGGAAACCCTGTCTCAACTAAAAATACAAAACTAACCGGGCATGATGGCACATGCCGGTAATCCCAGCTACTAGAGAGGCTGAGGCAGGAGAATCGCTTGAACCTGGGGTGGCGGAGGTTACGGTGAGCTGAGATCGTGCCATTGCACTCCAGCCCTGGGCAACAAGAGCGAAACTCCATCTCAAAAACAAAAACAAAAAAAAAAAAACAAAAAAAAAAATTTAAATGCTTCAGTGATTTCAATATTTTATTTCGAATCGCGCCGTGGGAATAAGGAAATATATACAAAATGATACCGCGCGGCGTCCTCGGGTCCTTCTAAGTCTGCGCCAGTATGTAAGGATAATACTTAATCGCGCTGTAACTGCCTTTGCATTGGGCAGACCCGGGTTACTGAACTGCTGGGGGTGGGGGGCGGAGAATGGAAAGACGCCCGGAGCCGGGTCTGAGGCTTTAACAGAAGTAGTAACGGCGGGACGACGTCAAGCCCTGGCGCGGCTGTGGGGGCGGCGGCCAGCGGAGGGGCTGGGGGGGGGCGGCAGGCGCCGGGCGCGCCAGGCCTGGGCCGCGGCCTCGGGAGCGGGTGTGGCGGGCGCTGCGTCCGCTCAGGCCGAGCGTCTCCCGGCGCGAGTTCGCCCCGTCCCGCCTCTTCCCCTTACCACGTAGCCCCCCCACACGTAGAGGAAGTTTCCGTCCACCACGGCGCAGTGGCCGCTGCGTTCCTCCGCCACGCAGAACAGCTGTGAGTCCGCCATTCGCGCCATCGCTGGCCCGCCGCTTGCCGCGCCACAGCCCCTGCCCGCCCGGCGGCCTAGCCTCCAGTCCCGACTGCTCCACGCACGAACGGAACGCGGCGAGGGTCGAGATTGGTGGAAGGCGGAGTCAGTGCGTCTGCGACGTCCCGCGGCTTTCGCTCGGGGAGTAGAGCGAGGGGCGGCGCGGCTGCGGAGGGACGTCTGGCTCCTGGCAGTGGGGAAGGGGCCTGGGGTTCCCACGCGCAGATTCCTTCTCTCTTGGAATTGTGTTTTGGCAGTACAGCCTCATTTAGTAGTCAGTCTGTAGTCAAATTCCTTGATTATCTCAAAATGTCGTTTCTACAGTTGGTTTGTCCAGCATTGTAATTCGTTGTTAACGCTTTATGTCTTTTTTACTCTAGAATAGCTTCTCTCCCTTCTCTCTTGTGCCATTGGTTTGTTATATGGATTAGTTTTCTTATTTTCCTACAGCCTTCTGGGTTTGGTTCCTCAATGTCCTTTCTCATTAACTTGTGCAAGCTTTCCCCATATTTCTTTTAGGCTGGAAGCTGTATCTAAAAGCTTTATTAGATTCTAGTTCAGATTTTTTTTTTGGAAAATACTTCATATTGCATCACATTAGAAGGCACTTAAGTGTGGTGCAACTTAATGATACTTTCTATTGTTTATTTTTGACGACACAAATAGAGTATCTGCTCCTTTTCTTACACAAAAGGAAGTATATACAGTGTTCCTTAACTTGCTCTTTTCACTTGACGATCCATATCAGGGTACAGCGGTCTCCTCAGTCCTTTTTTTAGCTTCATAGCACTCCACTGATTGGAGGTGTCATAGCTTATTCAAACAGGTTATTGATGGACATATCGGTTATTTCCAGGTTTTTTGGCTATCATAAATAATGCTGCGATGAATAACGTTATGCATATGTTATTTTGTATTTGTAGAAGCCTATCTTTGGAGTGGAGTTCTAGATGTGGAATCCTATTTAACTTTACAAGATGTAACTGGATTTCCGTCAATAGGAGTTGTGTGCCGTGCGCAGTGGCTCACGCCTGTAATCTCACCCCTTTGGGAGGATGGGGTGGGCGGATCACTTGACCTCAGGAGTTTGAGACCAGCCTGGCCAACCTGGGCAATCCCGTCTCTACTAAAAATGCAAAAATTAGCATGGTGGCGCATGCCTGTAATCCCAGCTACTCGGGAGGCAAAGGCAGGAGAATCGCTTGAATCCAGGACGTGGAGGTTGCAGTGAGCCGAGATCGCGCCACTGCACTCCAGTCTGGGCGACAGAGCAAGATTCCTTCTCAAAAAAAGAAAAAAGAAAAATTCAAGATAGACAAAAGTGACCTATGGTAATAGAAAGCAGAAAAGTGGTTATTTGGGAGTAGGGAGGCGGAGGGGATTGATAAAAAGGAGTACAGGAAGTGTTCTGGAGTGATGAAAATGTTCTACTGTATCTTGATTGAGGTGGTGGTTACATAGGTGTATACATTTATCAAAATGCATTGAACTGCATACAGATATGTGCATTTTACTTAGTGTAAACTATGTGTCAATTATAATTCTCACTCCATCACTTTATTGTTACTAGTAATATTGGTATTGTATTTTTGAAATGGAGCACTTGTCCTCCTGGACTGTAGAGTCTGGTGGAGTCTACAGACCAGCAAACAGACAACATACCGTGCAGTAAGTGTGAAAATAGCAAAAGTCCAGGGCACCTTGGGTCTACAGAGGTCCTTTAACTCAGATTGAGGGGAGACAGGGAAGGTTCCTGAGGGAAAGTAAAGTCTAAGCTAAGAACTGAAAGAAGAATGGAAGTTGTTCAGGGAACTTTGATTTGTGAGAGGGTAGAGTCAAGAATATGCCTAGTTTACCAGCTTGGTCACTGGGTGGAAGGTGGGTGGAGCCCTTCACTAGGTTAGTCAATATGGGAGGAGCAACAGGTTTTGGTGGTGGTCCGGGAGGGCAGGGCCAATGGTGAGTTCATTTGGAGGCACAGTGAGTTGGATTTGAAGTCTAAGAGAGCTAAGGGGTAGAGATAGGGATTTTGGAGTCATCAGCATATAATTGTTCATTTAAGTATTGGGACTTTATGAGCTGGCCAGGTGAAGGAGCCATAGAAGAAGTTGAAAATTTATGAGAGAAAGAGAATTGTGATTGGGAAAATTTATGGGAAAATGGAAATTGTGAGGTCAGATTGTGAGAGGAAGCTGGGCAACTGGAATTGATTATTTTCTCTCCAATTTCTTAATATAAAAGATAGCAAACAAAAAAAGTTGAAAAAATAGTTCAAGGAGTACCTGTGTATCTTCTACTCCAGGTTAATAATTATTAATACTACCACACTAGTTTTATACTAGTTTTATTATTAATACTACCATACTAGTTGGTATGTGTGTGTCTGTCTTTTTCATTTTGTTGAATTATTTGAGAGTGGGAGGTGTAATGTTGCACTTCAGCACACATTTTCTAAAAACAGGGATGTTTACTTACATAACCACAATATTATTACTACATGTAAGAAAATCAACTGTTTTTTTTGTTTGTTTGTTTGTTTTTTGAGACGGAGTCTCGCTCTGTTGCCCAGGCTGGAGTGCATTGTCACATCTCCGCTCATGCAAGCTCCGCCTCCCAGGTTCATGCCATTCTCCTGCCTGAGCCTCCTGAGTAGCTGGGACTACAGGCGCCCGCTACCACGCCCGGCTAATTTTTTGTATTTTTTTTCAGTCCAGACGGGGTTTCACCGTGTTAGCCAGGATGGTCTCGATCTCCTGACCTCGTGATCTGCCCGCCTCGGCCTCCCAAAGTGCTGGGATTACAGGCGTGAGCCACCGCGCTTGGCTGTTATTTCTTGATATAATTTGATATTCAGAATTCCTGAATTGTATTATAACTATAGCTTTTTCTTCCAAACTGGGACCCAATCAAAGCTTACCTATTGCATTTGGTTGTTAAGTTCTTTTAGTCTTTTTTTTTTTTTTTGAGACAGAGTCTTGCTCTGTCGCCCAGGGCAGAGTGCAGTGGCACAATCTCAGCTCACTGTAACTTCCGCCTCCCAGGTTCAAATGATTCTCCTGCCTCAGCCTCCCAAATAGCTGGGATTACAGGCGCCTACCACCACGCCTGGCTAATTTTTGTATTTTTAATAGAGATGGGGTTTCACCATGTTGGCCAGGCTTGTCTCAAACTCCTGACCTCAGGTATCTGCCTACCTCAGCCTCCCAAAGTGCTGGGATTATAGGTGTGAGCCACTGCCCATGGCCGGTTTTTGTTGTTGTTTTTTGTTTTTGAGACAGAGTCTCACTGTGTGGCCCAGGCTGGAATGCAGTGGCATGAACTTAGCTCACTGAAACCTCTGCCTCCTGGGTTCAAGCAATTCTCCTGCTAAGTTTGATACTTGATTAAGGTGGTAACCTCTGAATGTTCCATTGTAAAAGTGCATTTTCCCCTGTATAATTATCAGTTATCCGGAGGATGATATTTTGGGACTGTGCAAATATCCATTTCCTAAAACACTTTACTTAATAGCTTTATCATTTTATGTCCCTATTCCCCCTCCTTTCCTGCCCATAGGTAACCATTTATTCCTTGTTCATCCTTCTAGGGGGTAAGCAGATAATCCCCATTATTTGTGCATTCCTTATTCACAAATTCAGCTATTCACTAACATTTATTTGTAATGCCCAAATCAATGTTGGAAGCTTTCATGGTCTTTTGAGGACATGCATAGAGAAGCAGAACATTTGAGTTGCCTATCACGTACATTCCCAGATGAGGTTAAACAGAGTGACACTGCCTTCTCGTGTCATCTCTCATACTATAAGTAAATGTCCCTTTTCTGGTACATTTAGTGCTGTATTTTCAGCATTTTTGCTTTTTTTGTTGGTGATTTTGCTGTTTAAAGTTGCCTCCAAGCACAGTGCTAAAGTTTTGTCTAGTATTTGAAGGTACAAGAAGGTTGTAATGTGCCTTATGGAGAAAATACATGTAATAAATAAGCTTCCTTCAGCTATAAGTTATAGGGCTGTTGGCCCTGAGTTCAGTGCTAATGAATCACAATATAAAGATGTTTTTAAATAAAAACACACATAAAACAAGGTTATATATTGGTCAGTTGATGAAAACATTGTCACCAGACGCTCACAGGAACTTAATTCTGTACTTCCCCTAGTAGCAATGGTTTAGTATTCACTAATTATTTGTTGGTGGCTACTTATAAAATCTAACTATCACAGGTACAGTAATGAGAATTAACTGTATGTCTTTCTATTCCTATCTCCTATCCTTTCTTACATAAAAATTAAAAATTTATTTGTACTTTTTGTCTTTGAAAAATATTTCACTAAATAGAACTGTGTTCAAAAATCACTTGTGATGTTATGTTACCAATTTAATATGCAATTAGGTGTATTGGTTTTAGTATGCATTCAATTTTAAGCTCACCTTTTTATTTTCTATTTTTTGAATACATAAGACATACACATGCATTAAAAGTCTCACTGTAAAGAAAGTTTTCACTTTCATCCCTATCGCCTCACCCCTTTATAGTTAATCATTTTTGTGGTCTCTGGTTTAACCTTCCAGAGTTGTTTTGTTGTTGTTGTTGTTGTTTTGAGACAGTCTGGCTCTTGTTGCCTAGGCTGGAGTGCAATGGCGCCATCTTGGCTCAGGGCAACCTCCGCTTCCCGGGTTCAAACGATTCTCCTGCTTCAGCCTCCCGAGTAGCTGGGATTACAGGCATGCACCACCATACCCGGCTAATTTTTTTGTATTTTTGTAGAGATGGGGTTTCTCCATGTTGGTCAGGCTGGTCTCGAACTCCTGACCTCAGATGATCCACCCACCTCGGCCTCCCAAAGTGCTGGGATTACAGGCGTGAACCACTGCGCCGGGCTTTTTTTGTTTTTGAGATAGAGTCTTGCTTTGTTGTCCAGGCTGGAGTGGTGGCATGATCTCGGCTCACTGCACCCTCCGCCCCCGAGGCTCAAGAGATTCTCCTGCCTCAGCCTCTCAGGAGCTGGGATTACAAGCACGTGCCACCACATCTGGCTAATTTTTGTGTTTTTTTGTATTTTCTTTTTTTGGTAGAGACGGGCTTTCACGATGTTGTCCCGGCTGTTCTCGAACTCTTGGCCTCAAGTGATCTGCCAGCGTCGGCCTCCCAAAGTTCTGGGATTACAGATGTGAGCCACTGCGCCCGGGCCCAGAGATTTTTTAAAATGCAAAAACTAATACATATATTTTTGTTTCCCTTCCTTCATTAAACTGCGCTTTTTTAAAAAAGAAAAAAAAACCGTATACGTTGGAGGTCACTTTATATTGGTACTGCGAAATCATCCTCATGTTTTATTTTTATTTTTTTATTTTTATTTTTTGAGACGGAGTCTCGCTCTGTCGCCCAGGCTGGAGTGCAGTGGCCGTTTCTCAGCTCACTGCAAGCTCTGCCTCCCGGGTTCACGCCATTCTCCTGCCTCAGCCTCCCGAGTTGCTGGGACTATAGGCGCCTGCCACCTCGCCCGGCTAGTTTTTTGTATTTTTTAGTAGAGACGGGGGTTTCACCGTGTTAGCCAGGATGGTCTCGATCTCCTGATCTCGTTATCCGCCCATCTCGGCCTCCCAAAGTGCTGGGATTACAGGCGTGAGCCACCGCGCCCGGCCTCATCCTCATGTTTTATAGGCCGCGTGTTTACTTATAAGTACTCCATGGTTTAGTCAACTCATTGGAGCAAGCGTTTTAAAGTGTGGCGGATTGACAGTCCACTTGGAATCAGAATACCTGAGTTCAGATCCTGACTCCACCACTTAACTCGTCGTTTCATCTTGAGCAAGTCCTTTACCATTTTTGTGTCTCAGTTTTCTCATCTGTAAAATGAGGCTGTTGTGGAAAAGACAGCACACAGCTCATCGGGCTGTCATGAGCAACACATCAATTCATACATTTAAAGTGCTTATGACAGTGCATGGCGCATACGAAGCCCTCAAGTTAAATAAAAATGGGGTAGGTGGGAGCGATGAAGATTTATAACAGCTTCCAGTAAATGTCGAGGTACAGTATTTCCAGAGCTTGTGCGAAGTAGGGAACCCAACAGCTCTCACGGCCTTCAAAGAAGGGGGATCCTGGGTCCGGGAAGCTCGGCCGCAGTCGTGGAATGTCTAGGGCAGCGGTGAGAGCGCTGTGGCTGGCTCAACGCAGCCCGACACCAGGGAAGACGCTCTGGCCCTCAATTTCCCGGCAGCAAAGGAGCGCGAGGTGATCTCCACTTTCAGCCTACTCGGTCCGGGGTTGCAAACTGCTAGGTGTGAGTGGCTGCGGCGCAGGCAGCCGGGACCAAGCAGGGATCGTAACAGGGTCGAGCGCGACCCAGGACAGGTCCGGGGGCGGAGCTGGGCCGGGGCTCGCCCGGAAGGGGCGGAGCTGCGGCGGTGGCGCCAAATCGCGAATATGGCGCCGGAGCGGTTGCGGAGCCGGGCGCTCTCTGCCTTTAAGTTGCGGGGCTTGCTACTCCGGGGGTGAGTGGGCTTGGGCAGCTTGAGGGGCGAGAGGGAAGAGCTGGGGCCCGGCTGCCTCGTGCGGCAGCGGGACGCACCGCGGCGGCTCCCCGCGCGCGGAGAGGGGGCTTGATCTTAAATGACAGAGTTCTAAGAAGCGGCCGGGCGTGGTGGTTCACGCCAGTAATCCCACCACTTTGGGAGGTCGAGGCGGGCGGATCACGAGGTCAGCAGATCGAGACCATCCTGGCCAACGTTGTGAAGCCCCGTCTCTACTAAAAATACAAAAATTAGCTGGGCGTGGTGGCGCGCGCTTGTAGTCCCAGTTACTCGGGAGGCTGAGGCAGGAGAATCGCTTGAACCCAGGAGGAGGAGGTTGCGGTGAGCCGATATCGCGCGACTGCACTCCATCCTGGCGACAGAGAGAAACTCCATTAAAAAAAAAAAAAAAGTTCTAAGATCTTGAGGCTGCCGTGCCTTCTTTGGTTTCACCGACCCGTGCAAGGAGTTTAATGTTTCTTCTAGGCGGGCCCGGGCTCTTTTCACGTGTCAGACTGAGCCCGAGAAGCGGCAACCTGTCTATGGCAGCCGGTTATCAGCGTTGGTGACCCGGTCAGCTCTCAGGCTCCGGGGAAGGTTGCTGAGACATCAGATGAGAGACCCAAAACAGCCCGCTCGCACGTCTGCAGTTGCCAATTTATGTGAAAGTCAGGTTTCCTGGACATATCTGTGTTTCTGAGGACCTATAGAACATATTAACCTTTCCAAGATTTTTCTCATTAAATCTATTACGTGTTTTAGAGTTCTGTGTGTGTGTGTGTGTGTGTGTGTATTTTTTTTTTTTTTTTTTTTTTTTTGAGACATGGTCTCACTGTCGCCGAAGCTGGAGGGCAGTGATGCGAACTTGACTTACTGCAGCCTCAACCTCCTGGGCTCAAGTAGCTGGGACTACAGGCGTGGGCCACCATACCTGGCTAATTTTTGTTGTATTTTTTGTAGAGACGGGGTCTGGCTATGTTGCCTAGCCTGGTCTTGAACTCCTGAGCTCAAGTAATCCTCCCGCTGTGGCCTCCCAGAATGCTGGAATTACAGGTGTGAACCACCGTGCCTGGCCTAGAACACAATATTTTATACATATTTAAATACCTGCTGAACTGGATATACCTCATTGTATCTGTTTTTATTGCTCTCGTGTGTGTAGATTTTTTGTTGGTTTTTGTGAGTTTTATGGGACTTTTAACTGTACTTTGGGTTAGTAATGGATATACCTTGGGGGAAAATAATGAGTTTTGTTCAATTGGTCCTTGACATTTTGAAAGCATGAGCAACTGATGAATTAACTTTCTTTTCACTTAGAATTTGACCTAATATTAAGCTTTTGTTCATTAATTATTTCAGTCATAAGTATACTTAAATCTGTTAGCTGCAAAGCACTGTGCTAGGGCAAGGGGGTGCAAGAGAGAGCAAGAGCTTTGTAGGGGGCAGATAGTGTATTCTATTGCTGCATGACAAATTACCCCACAACTTAGAGGCTAAAACAGTACACATTTATTATCTCACATTTTCTGTGGGTTAGGAATTCAGGTGTGGCTTCGTTGGGTCCTCAACTTCAGGGTCTTTTCACAAGGTTGCAGTCAAGATGGATCATCTCAAATGTTGACCAGGCAGCATTCGCTTCAAGCTCATTCAGTTGTTGGCAGGATTCAGTTCCTGATTGCCTTGCAGGCTGTTGGCTGGAGGCTACCCTCAGTCGCTTGCCATGTGTGCCCCCGACATGGCTTCATCAAGAGAGAGAGTCCGCTAGTAACTCTGAAGTAACCTAATCAAGGAAGTGACATCTTGTTATTTTTAAATTTTTTCTTTTCACTTTTAAATTTTACTTTCAAAATTACAATACAGTAAGTTTTTCTATCCCTTTTGCTATATTCTATTTTTAGAAACAAGTTACTAGGTCCAGCCCACACTTAAGGGCAGGGGATTACATAGGTGTAACTACTAGGAGTAATGGATTATTGGGGGCCATCTTAGAAGTCTGTCTACCATGGATATTAAATGACTATTTCACAGCTATTTAATCTCAATTGTGAAAGGGATTTCAGGAAAGAAGTGCTATGAGAGTGTATAATAACGTGTATAAACAGCTGTAGAGTCAGGGAAAAACTTCACTTCAGAAGTGGTTTGGGCTGACTGTTAAAGAATGAGCAGGACTTGGCCAGGTGTGGTGGTTCATGCCTGTAATCCCAGCACTTTGGGAGGCTGAGGCGGGTGGATCATGAGGTCAGGAATTCGAGACCAACCTGGACAACAAAGTGAAACCCCATCTCTACTAAAAATACAAAAATTAGCCGGGCCTGGTGTTGCGCGCCTGTAATCTCAGCTACTCAGGAGGCTGAGGCAGGAGAATAGCTTGAACCCGGGAGGTGGAGGTTGCAGTGAGCCGAGATTGCGCCACTGCACTTCAGCCTGAGTGAGAGAGCAAGACTCTATCTCAAAAAAGAAAGAAAGAAAAAAAAAAAAAAAAAAGAACAGGACCTGACTAGGTGGAGAGAAAAGTGGGAGAAAATGGCCATGTAAAGACCCCGAAGCAGGAGGAGAGTGCCAGGAAGGCCAGGGACATGGTATGAGCTTAATGGGATTGGGCAGGGGCAAGATCCTGTATGGCTTTGCAGGTTTTGGTCTATGCTAAGAACTGTCCCAAGACGTACCCAAAATGTATATGATTTTAGGGACTCAGTGATCAAATATTTATGGACCACTTTCAAGTGTATTTAGAACCCTGTGGAAGGATGGCACAGACTTCTAAGTTACAGTTTTAAACTTATCTATAATAACTCAGTTCTCAGTTATCTATAATAAATTGGAGAGATGCAAACACAAAACAACTAATAAGCAACCCAACATATAGAACAATTAGTGTGATGACTATAACAATAATATGTGAAATGTTAAGTTGTGTGCTACAAATACAGAATGGCATGTAATTAACTAATTGTTTAATACGGTAATCAGCAATAATATTGATGTGAGGTGTAAAGTTGTGTGCTGCAAATACAGAATGGCATGTAATGGCATGTAACTAGTTAATACTGTTCATTCTGATCATTATTGGGATTTAAGTCAGGAATTAATGTGATTTTATTTTATTTTATTTATTTATTTATTTTTTGAGACGGAGCCTCTCTCTGTCGCCCAGGTTGGAGTGCAGTGGTGCGATCTCTGCTCACTGTAAGCTCCGCCTCTCGGGTTCACGCCATTCTCTCGCCTCAGCCTCCGAGTAGCTGGGACTACAGGAGCCTGCCACCACGCCCAGCTAATTTTGTTTTTGTATTTTTAGTAGAGATGGGGTTTCACCGTGTTAGCCAGGATGGTCTCGATATCCTAACCTTGTGATCTGCCCACCTCGGCCTCCCAAAGTGCTGGGATTATAGGCGTGAGCCACTGCACGCCCAGCTGTGATTTTTTTTTTTTTTTTTTTTTTTTTTAATGATGGTCAGACTCATCCATGAAGCAGGTGGCAGTGCCTTAACAATATGCGTATTGTCAGGCCCGAGGGCCTCTTCCATCTTTGTCAAAGGGAGTGCCAACCTCTCTTTTCATATAACACAAATTCATGTGATTTTAATGAGTGTTGTTTCTATGATTATATTCAGATGTCATAGTTTTTTTAAGCCTTTTTCTTTTTTTGAGATGGAGTCTCGCTCTGTCGCCCAGGCTGGAGTGCAGTGGCACGATCTCGGCTCACTGCAAGCTCCGCCTCCCAGATTCACGGCATTCTCCTGCCTCAGCCTCCCGAGTGTCTGGGACTACAGGTGCCTGCCACCATGCCCGGCTAATTTTTTTGTATTTTTAGTAGAGATGGGGTTTCATCGTGTGTTAGCCAGGATGGTCTCCATCTCCTGACCTCGTGATCTGCCCGCCTTGGCCTCCCAAAGTGCGGGGATTACAGGCGTGAGCCACGGCACACGGCCAAGCCTATTTTTTTGTCTTATTTTATAATTGAAAACAGTGATTACTGGAATTTACTTTGAACAAGTGCATTATCAAATTAAATATATGAGTGTCTGTTATGTTCAGGATATGGTGCTTGACATTGAAACAGATGGACTCTTGCCTTAAATGTAGGGTAGTAAGTAGTACAAGGCTAATGTGATATATCAGATCTAAGGTATATGTAAATATGATTTTTAACAATTTCAGAAGAAAGGGAAGATTGCAGCAGGTAGAGCTGGTCTAGGAAGGCTTTTTAGAGGAACGATGTGATTTGAGGCTTTATGTTAGCAAGATATAGGAGGAGGATTTTGTTCAGAAAGCACAGGAAAGATGAGTGCTATTTGAAGAGAGAAGTTAGTGTTCTTCCTTTCAGTGCCAGGTTGATGAGTGTTTGCCGCTTTTTGGCAGAAAACTTTTAGCCTTTAATTACTAATGACCTGCCTCATTTTTTCTTTCCTTTTCTTAGTGAAGCTATTAAGTACCTCACAGAAGCTCTGCAGTCTATCAGTGAATTAGAGCTTGACGATAAACTGGAAAAGATAATTGATGCAGTTGAAAAGCAACCCTGTAAGTAATATTTTCTGATAACTCCTAAATTGTTAATATAGTTCTGCATCTTCAGTTAGATGTATAGATTTATAGTGAAGTTGAGGCTTCAGTATTAAGATGTCCCAGTGTTATAAGATGTATGCATGGTAGCATTTCTTCCCAAGGGGTAATACCTTTAGTTTATTTTAATTTTTTTCTTTCTTTTTTGGGACGGAATCTCGCTCTGTTGCCCAGGCTGGAGTGCAACGGCGCTATCTCGACTCACTGCAACCCCTACCTCCCAGGTTCAAGCAATTCTCCTGTCTCAGCCTCCTGATTAGGTGGGATTACAGGCACACACCTCCATGTTGGGCTAATTTTTTGTATTTTAGTAGAGACGGGATTTCACTGTGTTGTTCAGCCTGGTCTCGAACTCCTGGGCTCACGCAGTCCACCTGCCTCAGCCTCCCAAAGTGCTAGGATTACAGGTGGGAGCCACCATGCCCGGCCTTCTTTTTTATTTTAACTGTTGAAGACATCCAAACCTTTAATTTAGTTGGAACCTCAAGATATTCCCCAAGGGCCCTTTTATAGTTCCTCTCCCCCAGTGGAGGTGTCACCACCGTGTTTCCTGCACTTGGCTTCTGATTTTGATCTGGTCCTTTACAGTCACTTTGTCTCTCCTAGTGGCTATTACCATGTCATATTTAAGTGAGGTACTCCTAAATGTTTGGGAGGAAAAAAGAGTAAAGTAAGCAGAGCTGCCATCTCTTCTTAATTTCTTCAGGGATTTTTTTTTTTTTTAATAGAATGGCTAGTCATTTTAACTTAATTTTGTAAGTCTAAGTTAAAGGGCAGAGATAGTAACTTTTCAATAAAAAGCAATTCTACTAATGCACTGATAATGAATATACTAAACAGAGTTGGAAAGCATTTTACTGAAAGCAAACTATAGAAAATAGACTTTTTTTTTTTCCGAGGAGTCTTACACTGTCACCCAGGCTGGAGTGCAGTGGTGCAATTTCGGCTCACTGCAACCTCTGTCTCCTGGGTTCAAACGATTCTCCCGCCTCAGCCTCCTGAGTAGCTGGGATTACAGGTGTGCACCAATACACCTGGCTAATTTTTGTATTTTTAGTAGAGACAAGGTTTCACCATGTTGACCAGGCTGGTCTCGAACTGCTGACTTCAGGTGATCTCCCGCCTCAGCCTCCCAAAGTGCTGGGATTACAGGCGTGAGCCACCGCGCCCGGTGAAAACAGACATTTGTACAAAATTATATAATGCTTGTGATAAGTGGGGCCAGACATGGTGGCTCACACCTGTAATCCCAGCACTTTGGGAGACCGAGGCTGGTGGGAATGCCTGAGGTCAGGAGTTCAAGATCAGCCTGGCCAACATGGCAAACCCTGTCTCTACTGAAAATACAAAAATTAGCCAGACATGGTGGCAGGCGCCTATAATCCCAGCTCCTTGGGAGGCTGAGGCAGGAGAATCGCTGGAACCTGGGAGGCAGAGGTTGCAGTGAGCTGAGATTATGCCACTGCACTCCAGACCGGGTGACAGAATGAGATTCCGTCTAAAAAAAAAAAAAAAAAAGAATAAGTGGATTTCAAGAAAAGCACATTCTATAAAAGATGGTCGTTTTTTTCTTGAGTATACCAAAGTTATGAAACATAAGGTGACCCAGGAAGGTAGAGGTTTGGGAATTCCTTCAAGGCATTTCCTTTCTACACAGTGCTTCCTTCTTCTCCTTTTTTTTTTTTTTTTTTATTTTAGTAAGAGGGGGACAGTTTCACTCTGTCACCTAGGCTGGAGTGCAGTGGCATGATCTCGGTTCACTACAACCTCTGCCTCCTGGGTTCAAGTGATTTTCCTGGCCCAGCCTCCTAAATAGCTGGGACTACAGGTGCACGCCACCACACCCGTCTAATTTTTATATTTTTAGTAGAGACAAGGTTTCACCATATTGGTCAGGCTGGTCTTGAACTCCTGACCTCAGGTAATCCACCCACCTTGGCCCCCCAGAGTGCTGGGATTATAGGCGTGAGCCACCACGCCCGGCCCCTCCACTCCTTCTTCGTGTCCTTTTTTGGAAATTCACATCTGTTGAAACATGCCCAAAGAAGCTAGAATGGGACCACCAATACATGAACTAAACCTCTGTTCCACTGTTTTATAATTTGCAGTCCATTTCAGCCGTATACCTGGGGGAGTTTTCTGAGAGACCTCTCTATTCAACCTGTCAGTAAAACTGTATCAGCATGTTTCCTCCTGCCACTGCCACACTGCCATAGGGATTCAGGGACCTTTTTGTTAAATACTTAATACCACAAGCATGGGCATGGAAAGAAGAAATGCTCTTGCCCTCGGGAAAAAAGTCTGATATTTATAGCACCCTAAGGATAGAAGCGGGTATGGCTCACTCTCCACTTGATCTTGGTAGCCAAAAGGCTGAGAAGTGCTGAGTTCACTCTTAATGTTATATAGATGCTAGTCTCTTCAATTATATAGGAAGAAACATACTCCGTGATATAGGATAAATGGTTCTTATATCTCATTTTCATTCCTAAAGGCAGAATTTTACATATACCTTTGCTTGAAAATTCCTTTACATAAATTTAGAAAATGATACTTGTCTCACGCCTGTAATCCCAGCACTTTGGGAGGCCGAGGCAGGCAGATCACGAGGTCAGGAGATCGAGACCATCCTGGCTAACACGGTGAAACCCCTTCTCTCCTAAAAATACAAAAAATTAGCCAGGCGTGGTGGCGGGCGCCTGTAGTCCCAGCTACTTGGGAGGCTGAGGCAGGAGAATGGCGTGAACCCGGGAGGTGGAGCTTGCAATGAGCCAAGATCGCGCCACTGCACTCCTGCCTGGGTGACAGAGTAAGACTCCGTCTCAAAAAAAAAAAAAAAGAAAAAGAAAATGATACTTGTCTCTGTGTACATTGATTTAAGATGGCACATGGTATTTTGCTTGACAGCATATCAAAGTGATTAAAAGAGCCCACTCTGGAATCAGACCTGGGTTTTTGTTGCTCTCTATCTCTTCTAGTTTTTGGGCAAAATTTTCAACCTCTTAAAGTTGTATTTTCCCTATCTATAAGATATGGGCATTTTAACATCAGTCTTACAGGACGTCTACCTAATGGAATAATGCTTGTAAATAAAGTACTGAGCATGGTGCCCCATATTTACTCAGTGCTTAATAAGTGGTAGCTGCTATTGTTATTATTGTTACTATCATGCTCATTGAAACTGAGCAGTTACAACGATAAAGTTATACTAATGTAACCTTATTAAAAGTGAGAGCTTAGGGAATTTTTTTTTTTTTTTTTTTTGAGATCATGCCAGTGGCATGATCACAGCTCACTGCAGCCTCCACCTCCCTGGGCTCAGGTGATCCTCCCACCTTGGCCTCCTGAGTATCTGGGACTATAGGCGTGTGCCAACCCACCCAGCTAAGTTTTGTATTTTTTGTAGAGATGGGGTTTCACCACATTGCCTGGGCTGGTCTCAAACTCCTGGGCTCAAGCCATCCTCCTGCCTCAGCCTCCCAAAGTGTTAGGATTATAGGTATGAGCCACCGACCCTGGCTCAGAAATGTTCTTATAACTAAACAGGGTTTAGGAAATTAAGGCATTTGATTATATATTAAGGTATTGTAACTTTGAGTGTGGAAAACTTTGCAGTGAGCTGAGATTATGCTACCGCACTCCAGACTGGGAGTCTGGAGTGGAAAATTAAGGTATTTGAGATAAGGCTTTTGTTATTGTTCTGACCTAACACTTTTTTCCTCCAAAAACTGTATAATGAGAATCCCAGTATTAATATTTGCAAATTATTTTTGGGAAAAGAGCTGTCTGTGGAAAGAACTAATTTTTTTTTTGTTTTTAAAATTTGACTCTGCAATTCTCTTTTCAGTGTCATCAAGCATGATTGAACGATCTGTGGTGGAAGCAGCAGTCCAGGAATGCAGTCAGTCTGTTGATGAAACTATGTATGTGGGTACAGTTAACTTTATTCCTCATTGGAGGTGTTATTGAGCACTTAGTTTTAATTATTGTCTTGGAAAATTATTAGTGATCAACATTTCCACAGTGGTTGCTGTTGTTATTTCTGTATGTCTTTTTAAATAATGGCTTTCTTTGCAAACCTCATTATTAAATGATTCATCTTTACTGGTTTCTCCTAGGATTTGAAGTTACAATGTTGCTGTACCATTCATTACTAACTTTTGCTGCCTACCCAGCCAGTGGATCTGACTTTTTATTCTGTATGCTACAAATGAGTTGAATTGAAATGAATATTCAGAAGTATAGTTTACTTTGCTCTTAGGAAAGTACCATGCCCAGAGAAGTTCAGCAACTTTACTTGGTCACATGGTGAATGGCAAATGAGAGTAGGACCTCAGTTTTGTGACTCTACTATCTCATGTTTTTAGGTTTAAGAATTTATATGGCAGTAATTCTTCTGGGTTTTATTTCTGTGAATATCCCTCTTGATATGATACTTCTATCCAAATTCATGGCATTTTATTATGAATTGCCATGGAAAACACTGGGGAAAATGGGCTGAGAGACAGTTTTAACATTGCCACTTCTTTCCTATTTGGGGTAATGGAGGTGACTGAAAGGAGTCATTATCTTTATTTTAGTCAGAAGTTGTAATCCTCTCCGTGTCAGAACTTATAACTGCTAAATAAATAAATAAATACAGAAATTGAGGATTTTTAATTTTACCCTTGCAAACTCATTTAAAATACTAGTGTGACCAGGCACAGTGGCTCACGCCTATAATCCCAGCACTTTGGGAGGCCAAGGTGGTTGGATCACTTGAGGTCAGGAGTTCAAGACCAGCCTGGCCAATATGGTGAAACCCCGTCTCTACTAAAAATACAAAAATTAGCCGGGCGGTAGTGGGATGGACCTGTAATCCCAGGTACTTGGGAGGCTGAGACAGGAGAATCACTTGAGCCTGGGAGGTGGAGGTTGCAGTGAGCTGAGATCATGCCACTACAGTCCAGTCTGGGTGACAGAGTGAGACCCTGTCTCAAAAAATAAAATAAAATAAATACTAGAGTATAATGAATGTTCCTAAAGCAATCAATAGAAATTCAAAACGATTGTATTAAAGTTTAAGGATTATTATCCTAAAATAGACATTACTCATTGTTTACCCTAAAGTTACCTGTTATTTATTTATTTACTTACTTTCCCCCACATCAATCTGCATTCACTTTATTCTTCTGTTTATACATTCTCCTGCTCCCAGATTTGGAGGCAGAACATAATAATATGAGCTCAACAGTCCTGCACAGAGCCATGTACCATATCCCATCAGTTTTCCTTTTCCCAACCCCTGTCTCACCCCCACTCAGTAAAGCCCCTTGTCCAGGTGTTGCTCTTGGGGGTAAGAAAGCAGAAAATCAGGCTGGGCGCAGTGGCTCATGCTTGTAATCCCAGCACTTTGGGAGGCTGAGGTGGGCAGATCACCTGAGGTCAGGAGTTCGAGACCAGCCTGGCCAACATACAGTGAAACCGCATCTCTACTAAAAAATACAAAAATTAGCTGGGCATGGTGGTGTATGCCTGTAGTCTCAGCTATTTGGGAAGTTGAGGCAGGAGAATCACTTGAACCCGGGAGGCGGAGATTGCAGTGAGCTAAGATCGTGCCACTCTGCTCCAGCCTGGATGACAGACAAAAAAGAAAAAGAAAAAAAAAGAAAGAATGGGTAGAGAGTCCAGTGAGGGATGGGAGCCTCTTTCCAAGGCACAAGGGGCTACCTCCTCAACATGGTCACTGCTTTGTTCAGATTTGGGTAGTGTGCTGGCCAAGAGCTGGGGGCTGCAGTACCTCCAGCTGATTGAGGAGGCAAGCATTGTGAGGCTACTGCAGCAGGTCCACAGTGATCACTGAGGCCAGGAGCTGCCACACTCCTGAAGAATGCATGGGGCTTTGTGGGATGCTGTGTTGGTTCTGCACAGCAAGGGCCACACTGTCACGTTTCCTGAACACCATTTCATAAGGGCCTTCCTCAAACATTGTGGCATGTATCACACAGCCCAGAGACCAGACACCAGTCTATTCATCAATGACACAGTGACTGCTCAGGGAAGAGCTCTAGGGCTCAGTAGGAGATGGTGCACTGGGTCGCCTAGTCCTGCAGGGTCAGGGCCTGGTGGGAGACCTTCACTCGAGGCATGCTTGATTCATGGCATCCAAGTCTATTAAAACTGGCTGCCCCTCATCTCCAAGCAAGATACTGGTGGGCTTCAGGTCCCTGTGGGCCTAACCCTTGGCATGAATGGCCTCATGGCTGCTGTAGATACCCAGCAGCAGCTGAAAGATTTGATCATAAGTGAGGAAGTTGCCATCGTCCTTCGGCCTTTCTCTCCATTCCACAGTATACCTCTCTTAAAGAACGGAAGCAGCAGCCAGGCCTCATGCTCAGCACCCTGCTCCCTCAGACAGTAAGCCGTGAGGTAAAGGATTGAAGAGGCGATGCATGTTCGCTTCTTGGCTGGGCCTCCTCCTGGTCCTGCTGCTTGTGACGCAGGATTCACTTCAGGGCGTAGAAGTCTCCATCCTGTAACCTCTCCACTAGGTCCACAGAGCTGAACCCACCCTCCCCCAGGTTCTGGATGAAGAAATAGCTATTGTCAATGATGACATTTCCCTAAGAGAAGGCACACAGTGTGTGGCCCATGATGTCTCAGTCATCCTCCTCAAGGACTGTCTGAGGCTGCCAAAGGGCTGGTCCAGGGTGAGTGGGCTCTTCCAGAAAATGCACTACGTGCCCAGGGATCATGATTCTCATCAAGAGTAAACAGGTCCTAGTGACGCCAGTTCTAACAAGGATGGGGTCAGGTGCCTTAAAGCCTCAGGACACATAGCAACTACCAGGCTGCTTCCTCCAACCCCAGCCCACCTTTGGGCAGCCCCTGCTCCCACACCTGCCAGGCCTCAAAGGCAGGGCACAGTTTCAGAGGAGGCGCGAGCCTCAGGCCTATCCCTGGCCTCAGTGTGCAGTGCCAGGGTCAGCCAGCCCGCACTCCTCACTGACCTGGCTCGGCTATTTCTGTCAGGCTGTTTATATGTTACAGCCAACCCACATGGAGGTCCAGTGGGGACTGAACGGTAAAGGATTTTTGTACCTTCAGTTGTCAGAATCATTATATCATACCACAATAGAGGCTCTTGTTCTCATAGATGAAGAGAAGGCATGAGAAGTTCAATAACTTACTCAGACTGATCCACCAGAAAATAGTGGAGCAGTGTCTGGAGTCTAGAGTTTCCTCAAGTTCACTGATTCTCAGCTACTCCATACCTGTTACCTCTAGGGTAGCATTAACCTTTTTTGATCATTTTCAATTTGGGAGATAAACATATAATTTTAGGAAAGATTTTTAGGTTGGGATATTTATACAATAGTGCTGTGGAAATTTTTAACTTCTTTTAAACATGGTTGTATTATTAAAAGTGTCTGAAATTAAATATTTTTTTTTGGTTTTCCATCTCTAACACTATATACATATTGTATGAGTCTGAAAGATATGGCCAGAATTGGGGGGGGGGTTCTTTTTCCATTGTATAACTTTTCCTGGGACACTTTTACATAACATTTTAGATTTGGCAGGATGCGGTGGCTCACGCCTGTAATCCTAGCACTTTGGGAGGCCAAAGCAAGCAGATCATGAGGTCAGGAGTTTAAGACCAGCCTGGCCAACACAGTGAAATCTCATCTCTACTAAAAATACAAAAATTAGCTGGGCGTGGTGGAGGGTACCTGTAATCCCAGCTACTTGGGAGGCTGAGGCAGGAGAATCGCTTGAACCCGGGAGGCAGAGGTTGCAGTGAGCCGAGATTGTACCACTGCACTCCAGCCTGGGTGACAGAAGTAGACTCCATCTCAGACAAACAAGCAAACAACAAACAAAAAAACATTTTAGATTTTTTAAATTGTTGGGGTTGGGCATGGTGGCTCATGACTGTAATTCCAGCACTTTGGGAGGCTGAGGCAGGCGGATCACTTGAGGTTAGGAGTTTGAGACCAGCCTGGCCACTATGGCAAAACTCTTTCTCTACTAAAAATACAAAAATTAGCTGGGTGTGGTGGCACATGCCTGTAATCCCAGCTACTTGAGAGGCGGGAGAATTGCTTGAGGCCAGGACGAAGAGGTTGCAGTGAGCCAAGATCACACCCCAGCCTGGGCATCAGAGTGAGACTGTCTCAAAAAACAAAACAAAAACAAAACAATAAAACTTGTTGGAACTTAATCATACCCTTTAATAATACTGTAGCTCATGGCCGGGCACTGTGGCTCATGCCTATAATCCAGCACTTTGGGAGGCTGAGGCAGGCGGATCACCTGAGGTTGGGAGTTAGTGACCAGCCTGACCAACATGAAGAAACCCTGCCTTTGTTAGAAATACAAAATTAGCCGGGCGTGGTGGTGCATGCCTGTAATCCCACCTACTCGGGGGGCTGAGGCAGCAGAATCTCTTGAACCCTGGAGGTGGAGGTTGTGATGAGCCAAGATCGAGCCATTGTACTCCAGCCTGGGCAACAAGAACGAAACTCTGTCTCAAACAAAAACAAAAACAAAAACACTGTAGCTCGTAAAAGTAGAGATTTCTTTAAGATGTGACTATTGTTTATATAATTGTTCTTTTTCAACAGATGAAATTCTTAACTGGAAGTTAACTTGATTAATTTTTTTTTCTTGTGAGTTTTGGCAATGCTTTCTTGTCCCTTGAGATGAAAATGCACAAGCTAAACCCCATAGTATTTTTGACACTATAAGAAATTGTGGGCCAGGCATGGTGGCTCACATCTGTAATCCCAGCACTTTGGGAGGCCGAGGCGGGCAGATCACCTGAGGTCAGGAGTTTTAAGACCAGCCTGACCAACATGGAGAAACCCCGTCTCTACTAAAAATACAAAATTAGCTGGACATGGTGGTGCATGCCTGTGATCCCAGCTACTGCATGCCTGTGATCCCAGCTACTTGGGAGACTGAGGCAGGAGAATCACTTGAACCCGGGAGGCAGAGGTTGCAGTGAGCCAATATCACGCCATTGCACTCTAGCCTGGGTAACAATAGTGAAACTCTGTCTTAAAAAAAAAAAAAAAAAGAAAGAAAAAGAGAAAGAAATTGGCCGGGCGCGGTGGCTCAAGCCTGTAATCCCAGCACTTTGGGAGGCCGAGACGGGCGGATCACTAGGTCAGGAGATCGAGACCATCCTGGCTAACACGGTGAAACCCCGTCTCTACTAAAAATACAAAAAACTAGCCGGGCGAGGTGGCGGGCGCCTGTAGTCCCAGCTACTCAGGAGGCTGAGACAGGAGAATGGCCCGAACCCGGGAGGCGGAGCTTGCAGTGAGCTGAGATCTGGCCACTGCACTCCAGCCTGGGCGACAGAGCGAGACTCCGTCTCAAAAAAAAAAAAAAAAAAAAAAAAAAAAAAAAAAAAAAAAAAGAAATTGTGTGCCTGGCCTGAGAAAATGTGAAAAGTGTGTTATTACAAAGACTTATAATGCAAGTTATCATGTTCACCTAGAGTACTTACGTTTTAGTAAATCAGGTCTGTGTTTTGTGGGATGTTTTTCAGAGAGCACGTTTTCAATATCATAGGAGCATTTGATATTCCACGCTTTGTGTACAATTCAGAAAGAAAAAAATTTCTTCCGTAAGTATGCCATCCACTGATTTTAAATTAATTTCAAATGTACTTTTTTTTTCCAGAAGGTATATAGTCTCTTGCTTCACTTTTGGCTCACCTTTGTGTATTATGATAGTCAAAAATAGGCATTCTTTTTTTCTAGGCTGTTAATGACCAACCACCCTGCACCAAATTTATTTGGAACAGCAAGAGATAAAGCAGAGCTGTTTCGTGAGCGATACACCATTTTGCACCAGGTAAGTTTGGTAGCGGGCGGAGGGGAGGATATTAGGTAAACAGAGAAAAAAAGAGACTGTTTCAGTTTAGGGAAATCTCAGGGATGTTTAATGAATGGAATTTTGTGGTCCAAAATTGGTCATTCAATAAACTGTTACTGAGATTTCTGTAATTGAGACCATGTAGAAGATACAGAGCTGAAAAAGCTATTTTCCTCTTAACAACAATGATGGTGGTAAAAATAGTAGTTACCATTTAATACATGATATGCCAGTTAGCACTTAACATACATTATTTACCTCATTTAATCCTCATGATACTAATATATGTGTAAATGCTATTATTATTCCCATTTTACAGATGAGGAAACTGAGGCTTAAAGAAGTTTAGTAACTTGCCCATAGATCACATATAGTAAGACAGGATTTCAATCCAGCCTGACTCTAAAGCCCAGCCATTGCCTACTATACTTTACTACCTTCAAGTAGCTTACAGTCTATGAAGTTATAGACATTTGTGCAAATATATAAAGTAGAATTTTATATGTGCTATAACAGATACAAACAATGTATTCAATAAAAGAATCAGGGAAGGCTTCAAGGAAATGATGGCATTTGGCATGGACCTAGATTGCTTTAATCTTGTGGAAATGGGGAAAGGGTGGTGGTGATTGTGAACAAAGGTACAGCAAAAAATGGACTCTGTGCAGGAAATGATGAGAAGAAAATCAGGAGTAGCATGGGATCAGTTTGGAAAGGCAAGTGGGAGCCAAATTGTAGGAGCACTTTGGATGCCACCGTTGGGAGTTGGGACTGTTCTCCTTGTGCGAGGTGCTTTGGAATACCAGAGAAAATCGCAGCCAGGTTTTTTGAGTGCTTCCTCCCCCAGCAGATATGGGGATGACTTAAGAGTGTGAGAGAAGCCTTCTAGAAGTCTGTGCTATTAGTCTTGGCATAAATGATAGCCGGGATGAAGGAAGTGGCAAGGGGTGTAGAATGAGGGCATCACCCTCAAGCAGCAGAAACTATAAGCACATGGTGACTGTCTGGATGTGAAGGAGAAGGGAGGGGGTGAAGAATCAGAGATGAGTAAGGCCTGGAGTCTGAGAGAGTAGAATATAGAATAATGCATTAAACAGAAAAAGAGAATGTTTGTAGAAGGTGATGGCAGTTTCTGTTTTAAGCATTTGAGTTAAGATTGCCAGGAGAATATCAAGTGAAGTGTACATCTGGAGCTAAGGAAAGAGAGCTGGTAGCATGAGAGAGATTTGGGAGCATCTGCATAGAGTAAAAAATGGAACTACAAGGATGAGACCCTGGCAGAAAGAGAAGAGGGAGGCTAGGCGCGATGGCTCACGCCTGTAATCCCAGCACCCTGGGAGGCTGAGGCGGGTGGATCACCTGAGGTCGGGATCTCGAGACCTGTCTGACCAATATGGAGAAACCCTGTCTCTACTAAAAATACAAAATTAGCCAGGCATGGTGGCGCATGCCTGTAATTCCAGCTACTGGAGAGGCTGAGGCAGGAGAATTGCTTGAACCCGGAAGGCAGAGGTTGTGGTGAGCCGAGATGGCGCCATTGCACTCCAGCCTGGGCAACAAGAGCGAAACTCCATTTCAAAAAAAAAAAAAAAAAGAGAGAAGAGGGGAAGCGGATAGATAGAACTTGGGGGCCAGGCGAGGATGGTGTTATATGGTAGAAGCACAAGAAGGCTTCAAGGAGGAGCAGATGGTCAGCAGTAGATTAAATAAAGGTTGAAAAGAATGATCCTTGAGGAAACAGTATCCTCTGCTGCTTTCATTGCTGACATAGTGTTGCCAGGTTAATCTGTCCAAAGTGTAGCTCTGACCACCTCATGGGTTTTGCACAGAAGTCTTTCAAGGAAATTCACTGCCTATTAAATGCAGATTATCCTTAATATGTAAGATCTTCTCTCACACATAATTGTCCTAATCTCTACTTTTCCTCTAGTCATACTCTGTGCTGGAGCCAAAACTGAAATATGGAATTATTGTTTCTGTTTCTTTCACTACTTCTGTGACTTTGTTTATCCTGTAGACTGCTCTTCCCTCTTATCTCCACTGTTGAAACTGTCCTAATTTTGGAAGGCTCTTCTCAGATTCCTCCTTTCTGGAGCCCTTCTTGATCTTCAGTTGGATACAATCTTTTTCTTTTTTATTTATTTTATTTTTGAGATGAAGTCCCGCTCTGTTGCCTAGGCTAGAGTGCAGTGGTACAAACTTGGCTCACTGCAACCTCTGCCTCCTGGGTTCAAGTGATTCTTCTTCCTCAGACTCCCAAGTAGCTGGGATTATAGGCACATACCACTACACCCAGTTAACTTTTTTATTTTAGTAGATACGGGGTTTCACCATGTTGGCCAGGCTGGGCTCGAACTCCTGACCTCAAGTGATCTGCCCACCTCAGCCTCCCAAAGTGCTGGGATTACAGGCCTGAGCCACCATGCCTAGCTGAATGCAATCTCTTTCTGCTCGAACCGAGTAGTACGTCCTTTTTTTTTTTTTTTTCCTGAGGCAGAGTCTTACTCTGTTGCCCAGGCTGTAGTGCAGTGGCGCAATCTCGGTTTGCTGCAACCTCTGCCTCCCAGGTTCAAGAGATATTCCTGCCTCAGCCTCCTGAGTAGCTGGGACTACAGGCACATGCCACAACGCCCGGCTAATTTTTTGTATTTTTAGTAGAGACAGGGTTTCACTGTGTTAGCCAGGATGGTCTCAATCCCCTGACCTCGTGATCGATCCACCTGCCTTGGCCTCCCAAAGTGTTGGGATCACAGGCGTGAGCCACTGAGTCCAGCCGAGTAGTACGTCTTTTATGTCACTGACTGGACTTGGCCCTACCTTGCATTTGAGGTGTTTACCCTGTGATTAGACTGTGAATTCCTTGTTTATCTCCTCTGCCACATTTGGCACTGTCCTTTATACAAAGAAGGTGCTTAGTAAACACCATATTTCTTTTTTCTTAAGTATGTTTTGAAGTCTACTCTGTTATTGTGGGTGTGCCACTTATCCCTTCTGAGCCTCATTTATTCATCTGTGAAATAAACAGGTTGAAGTTCAGTCCATTCATATTTTCATTGCAGTTATCTTCCAGAAAATCAATCTGATGTTTTCATTATCCTACTTCAAAATATTTGTTTCTCATTGTCTGTATGATAAACTTCTTGGCTGGGGATACAGTTTGTATTGTCAGGGCTTTTTGAGTTGGAGGTTACGGAAACTCAAATTGATTAAAACTGAAAAAGGAATATATTGGTTTAGCTTGTATTATGAAGTCTAGAAGTCCACCAGTTTCAAGCCTGGCTGGATCCAGGTGTTCACACAATATCAGGAGGCATCTGTCTCTTTCCATGTCCCAGCTCTTTTAAAAAATTGATTTTACTTTCAAATAGGTTCTCCCTATAAAGTGACAAAGATCTCCACTAGTAGCCTTAGCAACTCTTGGAAAGAGAGTTCCTCTTTTCTAATAGTTCTAGCAAAAGTCTTGAATCTGTCTTTTTTGAGCCTACCTTGAAGCACTTGCTCATCCTTGAACCAATCACTGGCCAAAAGGATGGAGTACTTTCATTTTCTAGGCCTTGAATTCCTATCTATAGAAAGGGGAAGGGGTATCAATCCTACCTAAACTATATGGACTGAGAGTTGGGGAGGGAAGTATCCCCACATGGATCTTACTAATCTCTGGCCTTGTCTGCACTCCATAATTCAACTGTGTTAAACTTTGCATAGCTTCCTAAATACTCTAACTCTTATGGTTTCTCTGCCTGAAATGCCGTTTTTTTTTTTTTTTTTTGAGACAGAGTTTCGGTCTTGTTGCCCAGGCAGGAGTGCAGTGGCACGATCTCAGCTCACTTAATCTCTGCCTCCCGGATTCAGGCAATTCTCCTACCTCAGCCTCCTGAGTAGCTGAAATTACAGGCACCTGCCACCATACCCAGCTAATTTTTGTATTTTTGGTACAGACGGAGTTTCACTATGTTGGCCAGGCTGGTCTCGAACTCCTGACCTCAGGTGATCCGCCCTCCTTGGCCTCCCAAAGTGCTGGGATTACAGGCGTGAGCCACTGTGCTTGGCCCTGAAATGTCTTATCTCAGCCTCCTTTTGTTTCTTACTACCCAAACCTTATTTATCATCTGGGCTGTTGTTCAATGGCCCCTTTGGCCTGGGGTACAGTCAGCCCTCACAGTACTTTGTTGTGTGGTGGCACTTCTCTTTCAGTAGCCCCAGTGCTCTCAGAGTGACACTTGGTTGTTCTTCATATCCTCAGCCCACTATGTGCTGCTGCCATATGCACAATAGACCTTTAAAATTTTTACTTTTATTTTTTTAATTTTAAAACTTATATTACTAGATATTTGTATGTTAAATTATGTGGGTTTTCAAATTTGTTGAGAATGAGTAATAGTGACATTAGTTTAAGGACAATGTTTCATCAGGACACTATTTTAGTGAATCTTACATTTAAATGTCTGTTTCAGGAATTCATGTGAATCTTTCTTTTTTATAGAGGACCCACAGGCATGAATTATTTACTCCTCCGGTGATAGGTTCTCACCCTGATGAAAGTGGAAGCAAATTCCAGGTTAGAACATTATCCTAGTTATGTAGGGGATATAAGTGTAAGTTTAATATTTGTTGCTTAATTCTAATTTGTTGAATTTTAAATGAAAATAAACTACTGGTAACTGTTTAGCTAACTGGACTGGCTGCATGCCCACTTTTGATATAGTCCATTCCTAGAGTCCTGTGTCCCACAAATCTCTATCAGAAGCTACTGCTTCCTTTGAGAAGGCCCTGATACAATGCTAGCCCCAGATACACTCTGGCCTCCAAGATAGCTTTCTAGCCCATTTGGATACTACACTGGCTTTCTGATAACTTTTCAACATTTCTTTTCTTGCCCTCACTCATCCCTTAGTGACCATAGCACTAAGGAACTCAAATACTGGTTCCTTGCCCAACTCATCCCTCGTGACCACCACACACAGTTATTGAACTAGAATGTGTTACATTGGTTGAAGTGAAAACTTTACTTAACGTACTAAGGAAACAACATTTATAGAATGAATGTGAGAACACAAATGGATCCCACAACCTAGGCAACATAGCAAGACCTCATCTTTACAAACAATAAAAAACATTAGCTAGGCATGGTGGTGTGCACCTGTGGTCCCAGCTACCTGAGAGGCTGAGGTGGGAGGATGACTTGAGCTTGGGAGGTTGAGGCTGCAGTGAGCTGAGATCATGCCACTGTACTCCAGCCTGGGTGACAGTGTAAGGACCCCCTCAAACAAACAAAACTTTTATTAGAGTATAAATTAGGTTTTAGAAATTGGCATTACTTATATTTCCCTACCAAAGATCATCTATATGTTTTCTATATTAGGTTTTCTCTGGCAACTGAGATGCCCACAGCCCAGGAGCCTTTTCCCTCGTCTCCTCTTTGACAAAGTAATTTAAGGCTTAACTAAATAATTATTCTTTTCGAACTGTCTAATTCTGTATCTGTGATGGCACATTCCCTACTTAAATTACATTTATCTACCTGTATGATAATATCCCTTTACAGATTGCAAAAATGATGTGCTAAAAAATACTATTATTTTTACTTCTCCTGTGTTGTTTTAGGTTCTTTTTTCTTTTGATAGAGACATGGGGTCTTGTGATGTTGCCCAGGCTGGTCTTGAATTCCTGGCCTCAAGTGATCCTCCTGCCCCAGCCTCCTGAGTAGCTGGGACAACAGGTGTGCACCACTACACTTGGCTAGGTTCTTTTCCCTTCCCTTCCCCCTTCACCCTTTCCCTTTTCTTTCCTTTCTTTCTGACAGTCTTGCTCTGTCACCCAGGCTGTAGTGCAGTAGTGCAATCTTGGCTCACTGCAACCTCCTCTTCCCAGGTTCAAGCAATTCTGCCTCAGCCTCTTGAGTAGCTGGGATTATACGTGCACACCACCATGCCTAACTAATTTTTTTGTATTTTTAGTAGAGATGGTGTTTTGCCATGTAGGCCAGGCTGGTCTTGAACTCCTGACCTCAAGTGATCCATCCACCTCAGCCTCCCAAAGTGCTGGGTTTACAGGCGTGAGCCACCACGCCCAGCCCTACGTTCAGATTTTTTAAGAGTAACTCCAGTATTAAATGTTAATGTGATTACTATGGAATGATAGGATTGTATAAGTTTTTATTTCTTTCTTGTCTATATTTTAAATTTTTTTCTATAGTATACATGAATTATTTGTAATAAGAAAACAAAGATAAAACGTAAAGATAAAAGAAGCTCTACTTGGTAATTTCTATAAATATGAAAACTTATATATCCTTTTATCTAGCAATTGTGTTTCTAGAATGTGTAGAACTTTATTCAACAATTATTATCTGTAGCTGGATGCAGTGGCTAGTGCCTGTAATCCTGGTGACTCAGGGGGCTGTGGTGGAAGGATCACTTGAGCCCAGTTGAAGGCTGCAGTGAGGTATAAAGAGTGTCACTGCACTCTAGCCTGGGCAATGTGAGACCCCATCTCAAAAAAAAAAAGAAAAAAGTTTCTATCGCTGTAGTGGGCCAAAGAAAGGTGCACAGAAATATTAAAAATTGTTTTTATTAGTAGAAAACTGGGAACAACTTAAATGTCCTTTAATGGGAGTTTGGTGAAATAAATGGTCATATGTATAATATAGATATCTCTATTCTTTAAACAGAAGGAAATTTATATGTAGAAAAGTGGAAAGATATCTCAGATATTAACTTCAAAAAGTTAAGTTGCAGAATAGTACATATACTATGATTTCATCTTTGTGAATAAACTGTATAGGTGTGTGTCATAAGTTATATATGTATGTATTTACATATATTTAGGATTACATACAGAAAAAGTTAGAAAGGATTTTTTATTTTATTTTATTTTATTTTTATTTTTATTTTTATTTTTTTGAGATGTAATCTTGCTCTGTTGCCCAGGCTGGAGTGCAGTGGCGTGATATCAGCTCACTGCAAGCTCTGCCTCCTGGGTTCACGCCATTTTCCTGCCTCAGCCTCCTGAGTAGCTGGGACTACAGGCGCCCACCACCACGCCCGGCTAATTTTTTGTATTTTTAGTAGAGATGGGGTTTCACTGTGGTCTCGATCTCCTGACCTTGTGATCCGCCCGCCTTGGTCTCCCAAAGTGCTGGGATTACAGGTGTGAGCCACTGTGCCCGGGTGGCAAGGATTTTTTACAATGGTGTCCCAATTTTTACTACCTTAAACTTTCTGATTAGAAAAAAAGATCAGATTGAGAATGTAAATAATAATAAGAGCCTTTTAAAATACTAAGTAAAATTAGAATATATATTTTTAAATAGCTTGCTAATTTTCAAAAGGTACTGTTCAAATAAAATAAAATTGATATTCTTTTCTATATGTTAAAAATAAATGTACTTATCATTATTCGGAATGATATGGTGTGGATTCAGTCATTGGTAAGAGCCTGAGTTGATGTGGTGTTTCTTTAGGCATGATTCTTTCAGGCCATCATACACTTGATCTTACAGCTTTTTTGTAGGACAAAATTAAACATCCTAAGTTTAATTTTACAACTTTATTTCCATTTTATTTGATTTTCTACTGTAAAGTAGCTATAAATGCTGAAATGTGTACCCCAAATTTACTTACTTATAAAAAGTTTAGTTTCTTGAAAGAATATATTTATAGTCTTTAAAATTTATTTTGTTTTATTTTAGCTTAAAACAATAGAAACCTTATTGGGTAGTACAACCAAAATCGGAGATGTGATTGTTCTTGGAATGATAACGCAGTTAAAAGAGGTAACTTAATAAACATCAAACTTTTAGTTTTGGCCTTGGATTGATAAAATGTCGGTTACATAGAACATTTTTGTGGCGGGCACAGGAATGTACTCTTTATTGAAAACTCGCCTCACCAACAGAAAAATATTGGAATAGTGGTAATATAAGGAAATAGTATCATCATGTTAGAAGCCTTGGAATAAGGATAAATAATGGCTGTTGGCCAGGCATAGTGGCTCACGCCTGTAATCCCAGCCACTTTAGGAGTCCGAGGCAGGCGGATCACCTGAGGCCAGGAGTTCGAGACCAGCCTGACCAACATGGAGAAACCCTGTCTCTACTAAAAATACAAAATTAGCCGGGTGTGGTGGCGCATGCCTGTAATCCCAGCTACTCTGGAGGCTGAGGCAGGAGAATTGCTTGAACCCAGGAGGTGGAGGTTGCAGTGAGCCGAGATGGTGCCATTGCGCTCTAGCCTGGGCAACAAGAGCGAAACTTTGTCTCAAAATAAATAAATAAATAAATAAAATAAAATAATGGCTGTTCAGCAGAGAAACCCATTTCCTCTCTCCATAGGGCCTGTTTTACAATGATGTAAAAATTAGGTCATGTTCATTTTCATATTAGACTTTTTGTTAAATAAACTTTTGTAATAGTCAAAAAAACCAGAAAACAAAAACACAAAAAACTTTTCTCAGTTACCAAGTGTCTTTTTCGTTTGTGGTTGGTTTCCTGAGTAGACATCAGGACAGTGTCTTGTCCGGGAGCCCAGTTTGCATAGCCTGAAATTAGGCCCCTAGTGACCTCTGGATAAACAGAGAGTACTGGGTTCAATCAATCTGCAGAGTATGTCCTGGTCACTTGGAGATGCTGTTGGCTGTCTTAGAAGGTACCTGGGGAGACCCTCCGTATGGCAGACATTGAGTGTCCCTCTTGCCATTTTTTATCTGTAGGAGTCATTCTCCATTTTGTACCTGTGAGGAGTCAGAATCTCAGTTAAGTGATTAGTCTGGGGTTATCAAACTAGTAAATGGAAGAGCCTGGACTAGAAATCATAGCTGATTTTTAAAATCCACTTTTCTCCCTACTGTATTCTGTTGTCAAACTTGTAGTTTCATTTTTTGGTCATAGTTTTCATTGTTACATAAATGTGGATTTATTTCTTTTCATTTTTTTTTAGGGGAAATTTTTTCTGGAAGATCCTACTGGAACAGTACAACTAGACCTTAGTAAAGCTATATCCTTCACTTGTCTGTATTTTTTAAAATCTGCATTATGTGAATTGGGGAAATTGATTATATATCCTTCTAAAACTTACCTATTTGGGTTCTCAATGTAACTTCTCTATGTTGCTGGTATAGGAATATAGAGATATAATCCTAAACAGAGACAGAACAACTTTAATTTCCTCTTATTTGAAGAATCTAGACGAATGACTGACGAAGTTTATATCATGGTAAGAATGATCCACCCTGTCAATATTACCAAGAATTAAACATGAGGACATTTAAACCTAAATTTTTTAAAGCTCTTTCTAAGCTGTGGTCTATTCACAGTTTCAAATGGGAAGTCTTTGAATTTATTATTTAGAAGCCTTATTGGTCTCAAAATGTATGTTGACTTTATTACTGCCTCAAGAATAGAATTATTTTCCTCAGCTGTTGTATACCAGTTCCATAGTGGTTTATACACAGAGGCATGCTTTGTCTTAGCAGAAGGTAAGTCAGTATACTTTGTTACTGTCCTCCTTCTCATTCTCCAGTAAAACTATTTCTGCTTTGGGTAAAATATGTTAACATGATATAATTTGGGATACCATTAATTAGAAGAGCATATTTTTGGCAAAATAACTCTTAGACTGTTAATGGGCTAATAGATATCTTTTTGGGGTGATGAAAATGTTCTGAAATTAGATAGTAGTAATGGCTATACAACTTGTGAATATACTAAAAATCACCAAATGATACACTTTTTTTTTTTTTTTTTTTTTTTGAGACAGAGTCTCACTATGTCACCTAGGCTGGAGTGCAGTGGTGTGATCTCGGCTCACTGCAACCTCCGCCTCCTGGGTTCAAGTGATTCTTATGCCTCAGCCTTCCGAGTAGCTGGGATTATAGGTGCATGCCACCATGCCTGGCTAATTTTTTGTATTTTAGTAGAGACGGGGTTTCACCATGTTGCCCAGGCTGGTTTCAAACTCCTGAGCTCAGGCAATCCACCTGTCTTGGCCTCCCAAAGTGTTGGGATTACAGGCATGAGCCATGCCCGACCTGAATTATGCACTTTTTTTTTTGTTTTTTTTTTGAGACGGAGTCTCACTCTGTCGCCCAGGCTGAAGTGCAATGGCACAATCTCGGCTCACCGCAAGCTCCACCTCCTGGGTTCACGCCATTCTCCTGCCTTGGCCTCCCTAGTAGCTGGGACTACAGTTGCCTGCCACTACACCTGGTTAATTTTTTTTTTATTTTTGTATTTTTAGTAGAGACGAGGTTTCACCATGTTAGCCAGGATGGTTTCTTGTGATCCGCCCACCTCAGCCTCCCAAAGTGCTGGGATTACAGGCATGAGCCACTGCGCCCGGCCCTGAATTATATACTTTTAAAGGGTGAATTGTATAGTATGTGAATGATATATCAATAAAGTTGAAAAAAACACTTAATTTTATATAGGGCCATAAAATGAAACATTTCCTAATATGTATTTCAACACGTACTGCCAAACTGAAAAGCGAAAAGTTATGAATCTATTTCTATTTTATGAACTTTATAAGTTGAGACTCTGTGGATCTAAAGTTGAGTCTGGCAACCTCTGTAATTAGTTCACAGGGCATAAGACTAGCCTGACATTACTGCTTTGTTGTAACATAATTTTGTCCTTTCAAACACAGAGGATTAGACAAATGAAAGTGATGTTACTTTTTTTCAGGTTGGTTTGAAGATCAAGTGTTTCATGTCAATGCCTTTGGATTTCCACCCACTGAGCCCTCTAGCACTACTAGGTATTAAAATGTTTGGTTTATACTCTACGGGAATTTGGTAATGCTGGCAGGAGTGAATGTAAGATAGTACATCATATCTCAGTTACTACAAGGTGTCAGGCTTTGTGTCAGAATGGAAAGAGCAATGGAAAATGAGAATTAGAAGACTGGATTTTATATGTAATGTGAAAACTCACAGATTGGCCAAAGATTAGTTGCAATACCGTCTTTGTACTTCAGCTTTAACTGGGAAAGATTTCCAGTCTATCTGTTTTATTTATCTTTGGGGTTGATGAGAGGTTCAAGTGAGATAAGAGAGATAGAATAACACTTAGAAGAATATAATTCCATGTTAATATAAAATTCTCACTTTTATATTCTAATGAATGAAAGTTATGTGAGGTAGCTTATAGCTCCTTAATATAAGTAAAAGCATCATAATACTAGAGCTATTCCAAAATGGCCTTCTCTTAGAGGAACTGAGCTCCCTGTCACTTGAGTTATTTGGGCAGAGGCTGTATGATAGTATAAAAGTTGTACTTGGTGGCTCATGGGTTGAAAGTAGTTCCTTTCCTTCTCCCCACTTTGAGGTATTTAAAAACATTTTGAGTTAGTTTCCGTTGTATAAAAATTAGAAGATTTCTCATAAAGGTCTAGGTTTCGGAGTTCTCTTTTAACAGTAGGATCTGGCAATACAGTGCCTGAATTTTCAAATGGCAAAAACTAAACTGCAGTGGTTGCCCACTTTGGGCAGGGCAGGTATGTCTGCCCTAGTTACTGTCAGTGGACTGCTGCTTTGCTATTTGGTGTTATCTTCTTGGAGCCTGTAAGCATTCGAATTTGCCACTTCTGGGGGAATTAAAGTAGTTGACTTCTAATCATGAGATTCTGTATGATGGTGATGATATCAAAAGGAAGCATAAGGATTAAGATTTTAGTTTTATCAGGAGGCAGAGGTTGCAGTGAGCTGAGATCGCGCCACTGCACTCCAGCCTGGCAACAGAGCGAGACTCCATCTCAACAACAACAACAACAAAGATTTTAGTTTTAGTATGCCTGTATAAATTCAGGGTGCAAAGGCAACATTTTCTGGCTGGGAGTTTACTGGCAGGGCAGCCTTTGCAGAGCATCTACTCTTCCTGTTGAAGTGACTGAGGGAAAGGTACTGATCTTGCTAAGGAGAACACAAGCCCTAATCAAGCCAAGCTCACCTCGAGCTTTTGGTGAGTGCTTTTGGTGCAGTTTGTGGCTTTTTCCAATATGGTAAGTTTCTTTGGAATATGTTTAGAGCAAAATTGCCATTGTTGTGTGTGTGTGTGTTTTTTTTTTTTAATTATTATTATACTTTAAGGTCTAGGGTACATGTGCACAATGTGCATGTTTGTTACATATGTATACATGTGCCATGTTGGTGTGCTGCACCCATTAACTTGTCATTTACATTAGGTATATCTCCTAATGCTATCCCTCCCCTAGCCCCCCACCCCACAACAGGCCCCAGTGTATGATGTTCCCCACCCTGGGTCCAAGTGTTCTCATTGTTCAATTCCCACCTATGAGTGAGAACATGCGGTGTTTGGTTTTCTGTCCTTGCGATAGTTTGCTGAGAATTATGGTTTCCAGCTTCATCCATGTCCCCAAAAAGGACATGAACTCATCCTTTTTTATGGCTGCATAGTATTCCATGGCGTATATGTGCCACATTTTCTTAATCCAGCCTATCATTGATGGACATTTGGGTTGGTTCCAAGTCTTTGCTATTGTGAATAGTGCTGCAGTAAACATACGTGTGCATGTGTCTTTATAGCAGCATGATTTATAATCCTTTGGATATATACCCAGTAATGGGATGGCTGGGTCTAATGGTATTTCTACTTCTAGATGCTTGAGGAATCGCCACACTGTCTTCCATAATGGTTGAACTAGTTTACAGTCCCATTAACAGTGTAAAAGTGTTCCTATTTTTCCACATCCTCTCCAGCACCTGTTGTTTCCTGAGTTTTTTTTGTTTTTTTTTTTTTTTTTTTTGAGACGGAGTCTTGCTCTGTCACCCAGGCTGGAGTGCAGTGGCCGGATCTCAGCTCACTGCAAGCTCCGCCTCCCGGGTTTACGCCATTCTCCTTGCCTCAGCCTCCCGAGTAGCTGGGACTACAGGCGCCCGCCACCTCGCCCGGCTATTTTTTTTTTTGTATTTTTTAGTAGAGACGGGGTTTCACCGTGTTAGCCGGGATCGTCTCTCGATCTCCTGACCTTGTGATCCGCCCATCTCGGCCTCCCAAAGTGCTGGGATTACAGGCTTGAGCCACCGCGCCCGGCCGTTTCCTGAGTTTTTAATGATTGCCATTCTAACTGGTGTGAGATGGTATCTCATTGTGGTTTTGATTTGCATTTCTCTGATAGCCAGTGACGATGAGCATTTTTTCATGTGTCTGTTGGCTACATAAATATCTTCTTTTGAGAAGCGTCTGTTCATATCCTTCACCCACTTTTTGATGGAGTTCTTTGATTTTTTTCTTGTAAATTTGTTTAAGTTCTTTGTAGATTCTGGATATTAGCCCTTTGTCAGATGGGTAGATTGTAAACATTTTCTCCCATTCTGTAGGTTGCCTGTTCACTTGAATGGTCGTTTCTTTTGCTGTGCAGAAGCTCTTTAGTGTAATTAGATCCCATTTGTCAATTTTGGCTTTTGTTGCCATTGCTTTTGGTGTTTTAGTCATGAAGTCCTTGCCCATGCCTATGTCCTGAATGGTATTGCCTAGGTTTTCTTCTAGGGTTTTTATGGTTTTAAGTCTAACATTTAAGTCTTTAATCCATCTTGAATTAATTGTTGTATAAAGTGTAAGGAAGGGATCCAGTTTCAGCTTTCTACATACAGCTAGCCAGTTTTCCCAGTACCATTTATTAAATAGGGAATCCTTTCCCCATTTCTTGTTTTTGTCAGGTTTGTCAAAGACCAGCTGGTTGTAAATGTGTGGTATTATTGCTGAGGGCTTTGTTCTGTTCCATTGGTCTATATCTCTGTTTTGATACCAGTACCATGCTGTTTTGGTTACTGTAGCCTTGTAGTATAATTTGAAGTCAGGTAGCATGATGCTTCTAGCTTTCTTCTTTTGGCTTAGAATTGTCTTGGCAATGCAGGCTCTTTTTTGGTTCCATATGAACTTTAGTTTTTTCCAATTCTGTGAAGAAAGTCATTGGTAGCTTGATGGGGATGGCACTGAATCTATAAATTATCTTGGGCAGTATGGCCATTTTCACGATATTGATTCTTTCTATCCATGAGCATGGAATGTTCTTCCATTTGTTTGTGTCCTCTTTTATTTTGTTGAGCAGTGATTTGTAGTTCTCCTTGAAGAGGTCCTTCACATCCCATGTAAGTTGGATTTCTAGGTATTTTATTCTCTTTGAAGCAGTTGTGAATGGGAGTTCACGCATGATTTGGCTCTCGTTTGTCTGTTATTGGTGTATAGGAATGCGTGTGATTTCTGCACATTGATTTTGTATCCTGAGACTTTACTGAAGTTGCTTATCAGCTTAAGGAGATTTTGGGCTGGGACAGTGGGGTTTTCTAAATATATAATCATGTCATCTACAAACAGGGACAATTTGACTTCCTCTTTTCCTAACTGAATACCCTTTATTTCTTTATCCTGCCTGATTGCCCTGGCCAGAACTTCCAACACTATGTTGGATAGGAGTGGTGAGATAGGGCATCCCTGTCTTGTGCCAGTTTTCAAAGGGAATGCTTCCAGTTTTTGCCCATTCAGTATGATATGGGCTGTAGGTCTGTCATAAATAGCTCTTATTATTTTGAGATACGTCCCATCAATACCTAGTTTATTGAGAGTTTTTAGCATGAAGGCTGTTGAATTTTGTCGAAGGCCTTTTCTGCATCTATTGAGATAATCATGTGGTTTTTGTATTTGGTTCTGTTTAAATGATGGATTATGTTTATTGATTTGCATATGTTGAACCAGCCTTACATCCCAGGGATCAAGCCCACTTGATCATGGTGAATAAGCTTTCTGATGTGCTGCTGGATTCGGTTTGCCAGTATTTTATTGAGGATTTTTGCATCAATGTTCATCAGGAATATTGGCCTGAAATTCTCTTTTTTTTGTTGTGTCTTTGCCAGGCTTTGGTATCAGGATGATGCTGGCCTCATAAAATGAGTCAGGGAGGATTCCTTTTATTTCTGTTGATTCAGTAGTTTCAGAAGGAATGGTACCAGCCCCTCTTTGTACCTCTGGTAGAATTCGGCTGTGAATCCGTCTGGTCCTGGACTTTTTTTGGTTGGTAGGTTATTAATTATTGCTTCAATTTCAGAGCCTGTTATTGGTCTATTCAGGGATTCAACTTCTTCCTGGTTTAGTCTTGGGAGGCTGTATGTGTCCAGGAATATATCCATTTCTTCTAGATTTTCTAGTTTATTTGCGTAGAGGTGTTTATAGTATTCTCTGATGGTAGTTTGTATTTCTGTGGGGTCAGTGGTGATATCCCCTTTATCATTTTTTAGTGCGTCTATTTGATTCTTCTCTCTTCTGTATTAGTCTTGCTAGCAGTCTATCAATTTTGTTGATCTTTTCAAAAAACCAGCTCCTGGATTCAATGATTTTTTTGAAGGGTTTTTTGTGTCTCCATCTCCTTCAGTTCTGCTCTGATCTTAGTTATTTCTTGCCTTCTGCTAACTTTTGAATGTGTTTGTTCTTGCTTCTCTAGTTCTTTTAATTGTGATGTTAGAGTGTCAATTTTAGATCTTTCCTGCTTTCTCTTGTGGGCATTTAGTGCTATAAATTTCCCGCTACACACTGCTTTAAATGTGTCCCAGATATTTTGGTATGTTGTATCTTTGTTCTCATTGGTTTTAAAGAACATCTTTATTTCTGCCTTCATTTTGTTACGTACCCAGTAGTCATTCAGGAGCAGATTGTTCAGTTTCCATGTAGTTGAGTGGTTTTGAGTGAGTTTCTTAATCCTGAGTTCTAGTTTAATTGCACTGTAGTCTGAGAGACAGTTTGTTA